TTTTCTATGATTTTTCTATGATTTTTCTATGATTTTTCTATGATTTTTCTATGATTTTTCTATGATTTTTCTATGATTTTTCTATGATTTTTCTATGATTTTTCTATGATTTTTCTATGATTTTTCTATGATTTTTCTATGATTTTTCTATGATTTTCTATGATTTTTCTATGATTTTTCTATGATTTTTCTATGATTTTTCTATGATTTTTCTATGATTTTTCTATGATTTTTTTATGATTTTTCTATGATTTTTCTATGATATTTCTATGATTTTTCTATATTTTTTTTATGATTTTTATATGATTTTTCCATTTTCCCATTTTTCGATTTTTCGATTTAAAAAACCAAAAAAGAGGCAATTTTTATTAATTTTCATTTCGTAACTGGTTACATAATCAACTTTTCATAATCAGTTGCATAAAGTAGATCGTTTTAACACTTGCTGCGATTACAAAATATGTTACTTTATATATATGTCAAAATTAGAAAAAGTATTTTTTCTACACTCACATGGATATTAGCTTATCTACGCACATATTACAAAATGAAAAAGTATACTATTGCCTTCAACTGAACGAATATATTTCATATCTATTCTAGGTAGTGAGAACACTGCAAAAAAATGAAATCCATCAATCACCGTTTATATTTTGATCAACCGACTGCTATTATTTTTAAAATTTTAAATAAGTGACAATTCTGTCAAACTAATTGTCAGTATATTTTTTAGTTATTGAGAATTAAACATACATTAAAATGGGTTATTCTTTTGTAGAATCGATAAATAATTGCAATTCTGTTTTTATTTCGTCTATAATTATAAATAATTTGTTAATTTAAATAAAACTATATGAAGTCCATTTACTTATGAGTATTAAAGCAACAAAAATAAAAGAATAGGTGGTCCTGTGGTCAGTGTTCTTGCCTTGCACACGGAACACTCAAGTTCGATTTTCGAATGGGGAAAAATGAAATGAACTGTTTTCTTTTTTCGTTTATTTTATTTTAAAAAGTATTAAAAGACATAAATTATTTTAAAATTAGTTATTTTGTCTTTATAACCTAAAATATTTTTTTATTTGTAAATTTTCGTTAGTGGGTCGTAGAAAAAATATACTGTACAAATCGAGTGGATTGTCCACATCGCATTCCGCCTACGGCGTCGTGCCTAAATGTCGTCTTCGTGCGATATGGCCATCATATCCACTCTTGTTGCACAAACTACTATTGTACGCTAAAATGTTAGGGTGATGTGGAAGTATTGATTGGGGTTGCAGCATTTTTTGTTTTATTTTTAATACTGACCAGCCCTATATAATCGAATGTCTCTGGAACAAGCTCGGAAGACTCATTTAAATACAATATGCCTTTCCTTTGTTGGCATTTCGTGAAACAGAATTATTTTAATTTAGTCCGAAATGCTATGGGCTCTTCATGAAAAGCCTTGACTGATTGTATAGCTTCATAATTTTACACAATATTCCGAAACTTCGTGATATGACTAGGATCTTCATGAAAAGACGGATTTCACTATGAGCCTACGACATATATAAGTATAAAGACAACGATCACTGTATAGTGGGTTAATTTTGTCCAGTTCCAGCAGCGTTTTAGTGTTTTATGGGGCGATTCTGAGACAATCTATAAGATCTGTAAGCCAAAATCTGTAAAATATTACATTATATTACTATATCTTACAGATTCTGTAGATTATAGGATATTTCCCAGAATCCTACCATTAGTATCTATTTATAACATACAGGAAAGTCATAATCTTCATAATATATGATTATAGTATACATATTTATTAATTTCGCTGTTGATTATCACCAACAACCATTAATTAAAACAAAAATATAAAATACGGAAATCGATAACCCCGAAACAATTAAATAAACAAATCGTCGTGTTCCAGCAACCTGCTGGAAATGAATCACTTACAATAGACCGTTCGAAGGAACACATTCGACTATTTCAGTTGCTTTTATGTGTTTTCTGTAAATTTTTAGATCGAATTTTTTTGGCAGGTTGTTCTGGATAGCGGCCAATCGACCTAACCTTACTTTTCTTATTTTTTTACATCAAGTTTATAAAAAAGAATGCGAGGTATGCGTTGTTTTCGAGTCGAATTATTCAATATTGCGTTCGGATTTTTTTCATAATTGTTTTCTTCGTGATGTAACGTTACAGAGTGATCAGACTGGAACAGTTACGCCCAATAACTTCATTCTTAAATTAATAGTCCAACAGCTGACTGCAAAAAAGTAGCAGGTCGTTTTTTAGCTCACTGGTTGTAGTTGGGTTCAAGAGTTAAATTGACCGATTTCCGAATATTTAATAATTTAAAATCTAATTTTAAGCCCAAATAAAGATAAAGGTCTAACTATTAAATATTGATCATTTTATTATTTTCAATAAAAACCAATCATTTTAAATATTAATAATACTAATAATATTAATAATATTAATAATATTAATGATATTAATAATATTAATGATATTAATAATATTAATAATATTAATAATATTAATAATATTAATAATATTAATAATAATAATAATAATAATAATAATAATAATAATATTAATAATATTAATAATATTAATAATATTAATAATATTAATAATATTAATAATATTAATAATATTAATATTATTAATAATATTAATAATATTAATAATATTAATAATATTAATAATATTAATAATATTAATAATATTAATAATATTAATAATATTAATAATATTAATAATATTAATAATATTAATAATATTAATAATATTAATAATATTAATAATATTAATAATATTAATAATATTAATAATATTAATAATATTAATAATATTAATAATATGCAATAAAACCGAAGTAAGTCATTGTTATACAACTGGATTACTAAATACAGTTCATCAAATTTCTAGAGGTGTTCGACGCCCAGACAGAGAACGCGCTACGTGTGACTAAGATAGCTATTGTACAGTCTGCTAAACAAGTTATTTTAAATAGTTTTTAATATTTTTAGGTAATTAAATTTTAAAAGTGTGGAATAGTTTAGGGATTAAATTGGTCTGATTGGACTTTCTTAGAACGTTTTTAAAAGCAGCTAAAGATAGTATGTAGAATTGAAAATAATTATTATGCCATAAAAGGTGTTTTGGGATTCCTTCAACCTTTTGAAATTGAGTCAGAAAATATAAATTTTATAGGATAGCGGAAAATACCTATAATTTTTTTGTAGGCCTTTGTAAATCGTGGAAATAGTTTATATTTTATTTCTACCTTATTAAGGAAAATGGTACCTATTATTAATAACGGTTGTTTCTGAAACATTACTAAAATTTTCGAAATTTTGTTTTTCTACAAAATAATAAACTATACTATTTAGAAAAAAATTATTTCTCTTATAATTTTATAAAAAATAACAGGGGAATATTTACATTTCTTGATCTATTAAACAAAACGATAAATTATCTCGACGAATGACACCATGTTCTAGTACGGAAGCTAGCTTTACATTTTTGTTGGTGGTTTCATGGGTTTCATATCAATTTTTTGTAATTGTAGTTTACACGTACATATACCTCTTAACACTTGTTTGCTTTATTAAAAAAATGTGTTGTTGTGATTTACGTCGAAATAAGTCAAAAACAACTTGAAACGCCATATAAAATCAAAAAGGAGAAACGGAAAAAAATTGAGCCTGTAAATGAACACAACTCAGAAACAAAAATAGCTATCTAATAATAAAAAAATAAAATTTGATTCTAGTGCAGCTTCATCTATATCATTAACTGTTTTTGGTTTTTTAATGGTTTTTCTTGGTGATGAAAATTCCGATATCTCACGGTTATCGATTCTTTTTTTCTCTCCAGAAATGCGGACAACAGTGTTTTTAGATACTCCTGTGGATGCAGCAACACGATCATTTACATTTTTAAATGGTATTGAAGGTGAATTAAAGTTTCCTTCTCTTCTCATAAACTCTATAACATTGGCTATTATTTCGCGAGATTGACTGTTAATCACGCGGCCTCTTAATTTGCTATTAAACTCCATACTTAGGTTCTATTAAACTGTAATGAGCAAAAAACACAAACGAAAATAAAATAAATGTTTTAGCGAAATTTACATCTGACATTTACGTCTGAATGAAATAGTGAAATACTTGATGCGCAGAGTGTACTTTCATTGCGTAAATCCGTCGGGATGCCTGTCAGTAGTGCTTTCTCTGTCTAGCCGTCGAAAGCCTCTAGAAATTTGATGAACTGTAACTACCAATACGCGACTTTGACAAATATTTTTCTCCAGACCAACTTAATTTAGAACATAAAATAAATCTATTATGGTGCTGGTTGCCAATATTATTTAGCTGAACGACTCTTGCAATTTAATGGACAAAATATGAGGTTAAAGATTGTAGCTATATAATGTTATGAAAAACCGGAAGTAAGCAATTTTGCGAAATATACTTAGTTATATAATTAGATGGTTTTAATGTATTTAGTGATTTCACTTGTGATCTTCGCCACGCACAATGTTGTTATTTTACTTGTAATGGGTCCTATGATTGAACGTTTATGTTATCCATAACGTACATGTTAAGTCGAATTTTAACAGTAATGAAGCAAGTTTGTATGATAGAAAACTGTTAAATTAGAACATAACAGGCGGAAAATAACAGTAATGTGTTGAAAACCGTTTTTCATCATACGAACTTGCCTAATTACTGTTAAAACTGAGCCTAACATGTACGTTACGGATAACGTAAACGTTCAATCATAGGACCCAATATCAAGTCCAAAAGTTTTCCGTGGATCTATTATTAAATTACAAAATAATAATTATTCTGAAACGGTTTTTTCCTCACCTCTTTAAATTTAATAAATGAACGCTTTTACGCACTTGAACGTTTGTTAACATTTACCAACTGCCAAGTTACGGGTATAAACAAAAAAATCCCCTCACCGCGCCGTCTAAATACATTCAAACTGATGCACTCGACGACGGACATAGAGCTTTTCGGGTTGTTTTTAGTAAATATATTTTGCTGGAAAGTACATAAAACATCTAAATGGGAAACACATGCAAGTATAAAATCAGTTTGCCCTTGTCGGAAATCTCAGTACGGTTTTTCACGTAGAAAGTTGAATATACGAGTACAATATACGACTGAACGTAAAAATTAAGTAATATGGTCGGTGTAGAACGCTTATGTGGGTGCACTAGTGAGGAACTTGTCAAAAGGACGAAGATCAGGATGGTTGCCAGAATATATCAGGTTGGTAATGTCTGAAAGTCTTCAAAAGCCGCCCATTTTTACTTCGATTTTATATTTTATAAAATTAGATATTTATGTAATATATCTATTGTGGGTAGACAAAGGAGAATAAGTCAAAAATTTAGAAGCTGAGTATATCTATATTATATGTCTTATAAGTCGAATTATACTGATTTTCCCACCAAAAAAGGTATTTTTGTAATTTATATTATGAAGTCCTAGTTTAATAGCGACCCTAATGGAAAGTATTGTTCCATGTTCTACACTAAGTATAGATGACTGAAACTAATTTACCCAAAATTTTGAATTATACTCCTTTGCCCACACACCATAGATATATAGGTAACCGTAAAAAAAGTAGTTTTCGGAGGACTAAAGATGAGCAATTCAATTAATACTGATCTCTGTTTCCTTTTTAATTTTCTTTACAAAAACTAAATGAGATTTGGAAAAACCATGAACACAAAAAAATTGTATTTTTAAGAGAAGAAAGTTTAGTGCGAGGGGTATCTAACAAAAGAAAAGAAATAATGGACAAATTCCGCAAATAAAAAAGAAAAAGCCAAAAGGCAAAAGGCAAACCATAGACACGTGTTTCTGACTGTTGGTCTTCACAGGTACGGTGCAGCCAAGTTTAAAAGAGCATGGAATGTAATCAAAATAAACAATAGGAGATCCTTTAAGGGGCCAATCACACATTTGTGACATATGCCAACATACCCAGCATTTTATGGGAAAATATCAGCGTCGCCACTGAGGCAGTTATAGCTATGATAATGCATCCTATTCCAAGGTACCTAATTAAACAAGAGCAGGTTTAGCTTTTTTTATTTGCGGGATTTACCCATAGTTTCTTCTTAGGCTAGGATGCATCATCATGGTACCTATAAATGCCTCTGTGGCGACCCTGGTATTTTCCCACGAAATGTTGGATATGTTGGCGATGCCGCAAATGTGTGATTGGCCCCTTGAGCGATCTTCTATTGTGTATGTTTTGCCTTCTGGATTTTTCTGTTTTTTATTTGTGGGATTTGTCTATTTTATTTTTTTGTATTTTTAGTTGCTTCATCTAGAAAAAAATTACATAATAAAAACTGTAAAAATTAACAGACTTGTTACGTGGGCACGCTACTGGAATTGGTACAACTTTAATATAACTCTAGAGTGCAGTTATTTAATTTGCAGAACGTAGTACAGGTTCAAGAGGTAGACATTCTATTTATACTTCATCCTAAAATGCTTATTTGTAGTTAAAATGAAGATTTTACTGAAATAAACCTTTTATTTTGACAGATAAGTCATACATTATTTACTCATAGCCGTATACGGAAAAAAAATTGTAGAAGAAATTTCTACAATTATAGATTTTTTCTCTACAATAAATAGTACATATAGGGACAGGGACAATTTGTAGTAAAAATTTCCAAATATTTGTGGAGAATGTATTGTAGAGTTATTATCTACAATATTTAGTAAAAATATCCAAATGCATCATAAGAATTGTTCTACAAATTGTTATAATTTTTGCTATTCATTGTATGAATTTATATTAAAAATGTATTGCGTATTATGAAAATAAATACGAAAATTTTACACAATAAATAGTAAAAATTCATACAAATTGTAGTAATTTTTAATAAAACTTGTAGTAGTATTCCATAATTATTATAATTATAACCTAGAAAAAAATGTTCCTTAATAAAATATTCAATTTATTGTTTTAATATAAAAGATACAAAGTCTTAATTACATTATGTAATAAATAACAGTAATAATAGCACCCTCAGTCTCAGTTGGCTTTTCTGCACCTGAAAAATATGAAATAAAAATTAATAACAATTGAACTGTTCATACCCTTAAAACGGGGATATTTATCACCTTTACACTGATTTGGATATTAAATGACTAAGTCAGATAACTAACAAAAATGAGAAAGTAGGTATGTCACAAATAAGACAACAAAAATCATTGAATTTGGCACAAAATTCGATCTTGGGCACAACATTCGATCGTTGGCCACAACTATTTTTTTTAAAATAATCTACTAAGGTTATTTAAATTAGTTATCTAAAGGTAAATTATTCAAAAACAATAAATGTACTTACCACCAATAGAATTTATTATTAAAATTTTCTCAAACGCATCGGTGCTTATAATATAATAATGTGTTATATGTACTCGTATATGTACCATGCTTTGTTATGTGAACATGGCGAACGGCTACTGCTGTCTGGCCATTTATGATCGACGTCAGAAAACGTTGGCCAATAGCAGAATTCTGTTTTGTTCACATGACTTAGAATTTCTACAATATTATAGAATATTTTTGAACAAAATTGAATATTTTTCATAAGAAGGAATGTAAATTATTACTATTTTTTGTAGAGAAAATTACTATTTTTTGTAGAGATAATTATTAATATTTGTACAAATTTTTTCAGAAGTTAGTAGTAGTAATTACGATAATTTTAATAAATTTCTACTTCTACAAATAATAGTAAAATATACTAAACATTGTGGAATTCTTTCCTATTGTTGTAGCATTTTATTCGACAATTCAATTGCTACAATAATTAATAGTTTTTAACTGTAAATTGTAGTAAAATTTTCTACAAATTGTTAAGTATTTTTCTACAAGTCTACTACTAACAACATTGTAGTAAAATTTTCTAGTCACATTTTTTTCCGTGGTATGATTTTTAATTGATTTGGAATTTTGTATTAATATATGTATATTATAATTTTATAGTCCTATAAAAATGGCGGGTGCATTAGAAATCATTGCAAGCACAAGTATGCATAAACGACCTAGTGGATATAAAGCATTTTCTTTAGAACAAAAAAATATCGTACTTAATGTATTTATTCATCTTCGAAAAGACTTTGTTTCACTTTCTGTGGATGAAATAGTCACCAGATGTGAGACCTATACTGGAGTATCTAAGCAGACAGTGTATAACATAAATAAAGGATATTGGTCAAGTCTTACATCCGAAAAAGCCCCTAGGAAGAAACAAGACCTGCATTGGATAAAGAATGTAATAAGACAAATGGTACATTCTTTTTTCTTTCGAAATAAAACACCTACACTTAAAAAATTACACTCAGAAATAGAAAATAGTTCCACTCTTCCAAATATATCATATTATCGGCTAAAAATATTATATGAATTAAATTTTCGTTACAAAAAGCGTGACAGAAACAGCTTTTTAACAGAGAAAGACGAAATCATTGCATGGAGACATGATTATTAAAGGAAAATAGCGGACGCAAGGAATCAGCATGAACAGGTATTTCATTTAGATGAAACATGGGATAATGCTGGACATACAGTAACAAAAATTTTGCAAGATACCTTCATCAAAACTAAAAAACAAGCCTTTATAGAAGGGATCTCTTGTGGTTTAAAATGTCCACAAGGAAAAGGAAATCGTTTAATAATAACCCAAATTGGAAGCACCGATTGATTTTTGCCAGATGTTCGAGCAAAAGAAAACAAAAGACTACCATGAAGAAATAGATGACCCTATGTTTAAAAATTGGTTCCAGAACAATATAAAAAAAAATTCAGCCAACTCCGTTATTGTTTTGGATAATGCATCCTATCACAGTCGATTAAAGGAGTCACTATATACCTACAACAAGGTGGAAAAAAAAAGATATTTTAAAATGGCTTCATTCTAAAAATATTATCAGTCCTCCTAAATCCTTGAAGGCAGAATTACTCGTATAATAATAGCAAAGCAACATAAAAACATTTAAAAAATATATTATTGAGGAGATGGCCTAAGAAAAGGAATATAAATTCTCAGATTGCCTCTTTACCACCTAGATTTAAATCCCATTGAACTGATCTGGTCACAACTAAAAGGCTATGTGTCTCGAAACAATACGTTTAAATTACCTGATATGAGAAATTTTTTTTTGACGGCAGTTTCAGATGTAAATGGAAAACATTGGGGAAAATGCATTGATCATTTTAAAAAGGTCGATAATTCATTTTGGAAAGTTGATATAGCAATGGAAAACTTAATAGATCCTATAGCAATAAACCTCAGAAAAGACAATGGTAGTAATACCAGTAGTTATAGTGACTTTTATAGATAGTTTTTGTGGAAGGTCACTTTTAGTGACCGAAGTGTAAAAGGCCACTTGTTGAAAGAAGACGAGAATGTGAGGTTAGATTAGATTTATGGCGGGACACGCCGGGAGAAGAGCGGATTTTTTTATGTTAGCAGTTATGTGTTAGATATATTAATATAAAAGTGTTTGAAAGAAGTAGTTATAATTTAAGAGAAACCAGGGAATCCCTACATTTTTGAAATTTTTATTTGTTTTAAACTTTGATTATTTTTTTTTTTAATAATAACTTTCTTCATTCAAAATTTAATCTGCGGTGACCTTATTTATATTATAGAAACATATTTTGCAAAGTACGCCTATGGAATCTGACGTTATATCCCCACTTTTACTGCATTTCCCCTTTTATTCAGACTATTGGTCTAAAAAATACCTAAATAAAATAATAACAAAACATGAAAATGTTATTGAAATCAACTAAGCGTTTTTGAAATATCAATAAAAAAAATCTATTTTTTAAAGAAACTTTCACACCCTCGAATTATTACAATTCAAATTTAATTTTATCTAGGAAACGAAGAAAATCTATTCATATATATATTGACCCAAGGAAACGTTCAGTTTTTTTAAACCCGAGATGAATAAGAAAGACAAAATTTGCCCTCTCTGTATAGTACATAGATCTCAGCAACTCTAACCAAGTTTTAATGTGGCACTACTAACAAAACAAAATCGGCGCAAGGCTCTGTATTTCTATTTTTCTACTTACAGCTAACTCTATGACTGATACTTAACTTACTTAGGTATATAACTTTACATTCCATTAAATCATATAAAGTATTATAGGTACCTCAGAGCAATTTTTCTGAAAATAAATTGTTACAGTTGTACGAGTATTTAATCATAATTGTTTCAACAAT